GAATCGAATGTATTTGAGTCGTTCAAATCGGTTAATCCGTGTTCTCGAAATCATCGACAAAAATTTATGATAAAATGTCCAGAAACCTTTGCAATGTAAAGATAAGTAAAAATTCATTTTCGATTTTTTTGCGATTACCATACCTTACCTTATGAGAAGTTAATTATCAAACAAATATATTTAAGATTTTTACTAACATATAATCTAGAGTAATAAGATAAAAAATCAAAATCTGTTGCGCACCTTATCATTTTATCATTTTTGTGCGATTAATTAGTGCAGCATGAGAATTTGGAATCGTGATAATGTTTTCTTGTTATTGTAGATCATATATTCACGTGTGCGATACGAAATTTCTTTGAAAATGATTATCATGGATACACTCCAAACATATCACATTCATTTTTTTAATAAGGTGGCGTCCATTAATCACGTGATCGATTTTTTAAGGAATTTTGGACCCCCCTTCCCTCTTCGTGATACATGATGATATTCAAAATTACCCCCCTCTCCGACCAAACATTAAGTGTAACTTTAGTTATGAGAAAAAATGTAAAATTTTCATTTTTTTTTTAATGTTTGGATTTTTAAATAAAATTTCAAGTAAAAAATAAATACACGTGATATATTACTATACCCCTCTATTTCGGGATTTTTGTCAAATAAAATAAGTTTGCCTATATTAGGAGGCATCTATGAATCACGTGATTAATTTTTAAGGATTTTGGACCCCCTCCTCCCCCTTGTCATACGTGTTTAATATTTAAAATCAACCTCTTCTCTCACAATTTTCTTTGATAACTTTTGGATTTTTTTAAATTCAGGTAAAAAATAAATACATACGCGTGATATCTTACACACCCCTACCTCACGTGATGTTTTGTAGACCCCTCCATCTACCGAAGGTGATTAATGGAAGCCCTCTTACAATATAATTATACCTTCTGTATAACCATAGCAACAATAAGGCATTTTCACGATCAGAAAAATGGAATTTAATTTGTAAGCGTAAGTGGTGCAAGGTGCAAATACTTCCTTATACATGTAAATTATCGACTTAATAATTAAGAATTGAAATATATTTATATTTTAATTGATAAATATTTTTCACAATATAATAATTTGAAATTCTAACACGACCCATTAGGTCAAACTTTAATGAATTTTTATAATTACATCATTTTGCGTAATAATATTATAGGACGTTCGTTGAGACCAAGAATTGTATTATATACAATTTCATCTAAAAAAATCAATAAATAATTACGAAGAAACAACACGAACGATCTTTATCTCAAACTAATCAGGACGATTCCCAACCAATACCAGTTTTAATAATGTTTTAGGATGTTCATTAAGAATTGTATCATATACAATTTCATCAATTTCTTAAAAAAAAATCAACAAATAATTACGAAGAAACATCCCGAACGAACGATCTTTATTTAAAACTAATCAGAACGATTCTCAACCAATATAATATCAGTTTTGAATTTTCAACACAGTTCTAGGATTTTTGGGTAGAACGTAAACTAAAATTTTACAGTTTTCTGCTAATTTTAAAGAAAGGTCTCGGCCGATTAAGGCAAAAAGCTAAGGGGGCGTCCATTAATCACGTAAGGCTTTTAGGGGGAGGGGGGGGGTGTTGACATAAAATGACAAAGTATCAAGTAGGGGAGGGAGGGGTCAAGTAAGATATCACGTGTATTTATTTTTTACTTAAATTTTGAAAAAAATCCAAACATTTAAAAAAAAAATTCAAAAATTTTACGATTTCTTTGCAACAAAAAACACGCGTAATGTTTGTTGCGGGAGGGGGGTATATTTTTAAATATCATCACGTATCCCCAAAGGGAAGGGGGGTCCTAAAATCCTTAAAAAATCGATCACGTGATTAATGGACGCCCCTTAATCAATGCGAGCCCTTATCGAGTTTCATCCAATAACATAAACTTTTGAAATTGATGCAGTCATTTATGAGAAAACATTGGCGAATTGTATCATTTTGACTCACATACACACATAGTTTTTCCAATTTTGGTGATAAACTATTCAGAATGGCTTGAAACGTTGAAAAACCAAAATTTATAAATCGGATTTTCTGGCGAAAACATAAACTTCTTCTTTGGGCAGAAAATAAATGTTCATTCTATTTCCAAATTGGTGAATACTGTTTATGTTAGTCTTAAAAAATGTGCGATTAATTAATTAATTCAAAATTAATAATTATTAAAACTAAAAGTTCTGTCGACAACCTGAAGCACATCTAAAATGTTCTACATATATTTTTAACTTTCCATGGGGTAGGTTATAGTAATGGGCCAAAATCGAAAATGATTTTTTTTTGCATATCTTAACGTTTCAGAGGTTTCTGAACATTTTGGCATACCTCAGAAAAAAAGATGTGTGTGTGTATGTGTGGAGACAATATTTCGTCGACGATTTCGGGCGTACGGATTATCCGATTTGAATGGTTCAAAAACAATCGATTTCTATTGATGAGGAGACGTGCTGATTGGTTTTTGACGAAGACAGGTTCAGCGGCTTCGGAGATATGTAGCAAAAAGTGCTAAATATGTCAGATTTTAAGAGAACGAATCAACCGACTTGAATGATCCAAAAAACATTCGATTCGTAATGATGGGGAGAAGTAGTGATTAGATTTTGGCAAAGGCAGGTCAAGCCGTTTCGGAGATATAGAGGTAATTGTGCAAAAAATGGCAGATTTTGAGAGAAGTAAGTATCCGATTTGAATGATTTAAAAAACTTACTGCTTGTGTTGACGAAACGATTGCTTTTGAAAAAAAAATAAAAAATTTTTTTTTTTTAATTTTCAAATTTTTTTTTGTATATGGAAAAATTATTCGGATTTTAATTCTAATTCTAGCAAAAATTCTAAACATCACTTATATATTTCAAATAAATAATTTTAACTTTGCAATTCAGTTTATATAGTGCTTAGAAATATTAGACAATATTCTTTCATTTTAAATCCGAAGATCCGAAGTTTTGTTTATAATAATCTAATTGAAAACATTTAATATTCCTCGAATATTTCATTAAGGTACAGGAAGTTCATGCAATTTGCCCTAAGGTGCAATGCCATACACCACTAGTTATTAATGTATTTTAAAAAAACCTATAAATAAACTATTCATTAAGCATAAAATTAGTGATTTATTTGTTATGTATTTTCATTTAGAACATCTTACAAAAATATATAAAAGTCTGCATTTATTCAGATTGCACCATAAAAAATAAGTGTTCAGTTCGTAGAAAAAATAAGTGTATAATATGTTTGTAAACTAGATAAAATATGAGAAACTATATTGATTTTAATTCTAAATGAATGTGAGAGCATTCGTAGACAATTGTTAAACCAAAGATTAATTCACCAAAGCCTTACAAAACTACAAAATATGATAAGAACATCTTACAAAAATATATAAAAGTCTGCATTTATTCAGACTGCACCATAAAAAATAAGTGTTCAGTTCAAAAATTGTATAATATGTTTGTAAACTAGATAAAATATGAGAAACTATTTTGATATGAGAAACTATATTGATTTTAATTCTAAATGAATGTGAGAGCATTCGCAGACAATTGTTAAACCAAAGATTAATTCACCAAAGCCTTACAAAACTACAAAATATCATAAGAACATCTTACAAAAATATATAAAAGTCTGCATTTTTTCAGACTGCACTATAAAAAATAAGTGTTTAGTTCAAAAATCGTATAATATGTTTGTAAACTAGATAAAATATGAGAAACTATATTGATTTTAATTCTAAATGAATGTGAGAGCATTCGCAGACAATTGTTAAACCAAAGATTAATTCACCAAAGCCTTACAAAACTACAAAATATGATAAGAACATCTTACAAAAATATATAAAAGTCTGCATTTATTCAGACTGCACCATAAAAAATAAGTGTTCAGTTCAAAAATTGTATAATATGTTTGTAAACTAGATAAAATATGAGAAACTATATTGATTTTAATTCTAAATGAATGTGAGAGCATTCGCAGACAATTGTTAAACCAAAGATTAATTCACCAAAGCCTTACGAAACTACAAAATATGATAAGCAAATCTTCACATATTAAGTGAACATATTTAAGATCAATTCAATCTGTTTATTTATACTATCGTAAAAGGTAAACTTTTCTAATAAAATTTGTTTATATTACGACAAAAACAATTTTAAAATAATTCAACACACTATTAATGGCCATGAAGTTTTCTTCGCAAATTACAAATATATCAATAAAATCAATTAATTGGCTCTGATTTTCATGATTATAGACTATGTGATATACTAATAATGCGAATGCAAATGCAAGACTTTTGATAAATTGCTAATTATTAAAAAGATTAAACAGTTATTGCATTTAATAATTATTACCAGAGCAAAAGAGGTAGTCAAAATGCTACACGAGGAAATAACAACAAAGTTTGATAACAACAAAGCTGATTCAAAAACTTAGTTTCAAATATTATTCAAAATCCCCCAAATTCATATTATTAAGGGTTGTAAAACAATTATGTAATGCAATGCTATCGGATAAGTTTTGCTCATACTCAGTTCCTTCGTAAAATTATTATGGACTTCAAGGGCTATTTTATTTTAAATTTTTTGTTAACAAATAGAATTGAATTAATTTATTACAATAGTTTACCTTTGAAACTGTTTTTTTTATACAGATAACTTTTATTTAATTACTGTAATAATCATCCAATAGTCCTTTAAATAGTTTTACATTAAATTAAATATTATAAAAAAGTGCTAGTAACTAAAATGAAACAAATGTTAATAAAATGACAATGTTTATTAAAACAACATATAACCAGGAGCAATTAGTAATATAAGCATTTAATAATGTGTTAATTACATTTACAATACTCGTTAAACATACTCAAAATTTATTTAAAAAAAGTAAAATGTAACAACGTAAATAGTAGTGCAGCACACGATTTTCTATTTACACTTACCATTAGAAAGCTGTTTATCCGATTTTTGTAAAGAACTTTGTAGTCTCCTAGGCGAATATCCCGAATCGAGACTTTGTACATTTTTGGAGGTGTTTTTTAATGAATTTCTCAAAGGGGGTGATCCACCAATTTGGTCGTCGAATATTAAGCTCCGAACAGAATGCGAATTCGATCTACTCCAAACAGGTTTTCCTCCGGCCCTAGAGGATTCACTATTACCACTATCGTCCATATTAATTATTTAGAACTTATTTCCATTTAGGCTATCTCTTCCAAAATTGATCGATAACAAAAACTTGCATGGACAAAACATAACACATCACAAATCCATCATAAATATTACTTAACTACAAATATAGTAATGATTCTGTCCACAATGCTGGAGGTGCACACAGATATGTCATCACGCAAAAGCATGGACTAAATAACTTACATGGATTGCGCGTGCGATATTATTCAACATGTTGTCTTCTTGACATGTGACATTTTTTTTGTATTTAAAATTAAATTAATACTAGTCGTGTATGGCATTGTGCCTTAAGGTAAATTGCTGGAACTTACCGTACCTAAAATTACATTTTTTAAAAAGATTAACTATGTTTTAAACTTTGAAAAAAAAATAGATTTTTGAGAAATTTTAAATTTTTGAAAAAAATGACATTTGGAAAAAATTATTTTTTTTAGTTCGAAATATTTTGGAAATTTTAAACTGTTTTTTCAAAGCAATCACACTGCTTTAGCTGCAAAGAGACGCAATATCGAAGCGCGTAAGCGCCGCGTCGCCGTCAAACGAACAAACGATGTTACGAAACCCATAGAAATGTAAACAAAATTGATACTCATTATTAAAATTTCTATAAAATATCTGATAATTTGATGTGCATATGTCTAATGATCATTTTTGACCTCAAAATGGCTTATTTTTTCAACTTTTTTTTACTAGATCTCCGAACCCGCTAGACCTGCCTTCCCAAAAATTTAATCAATTTTTCACCTTGTCAATACAAGTAAAATGTTTTTTGAATTATTAAAATCGGATGCTCCGGTCTCTTAAAAACTGTCATTTTCATCACTTTTTGCGCTATATCTCCCAAACGACTTGAATTGTCTTTGCCAAAACCAAATCAACGTGTCTCCCTATCAGCAGAAATCGAATGTCTTTTTAATAAATCTGATCGGACATCCGTTTTCGCAAAAACCAAATTCCCATTATCTGCACTTTTTGCTTCGTATCTTCGAAACGGCTGAACCAGTTTTGCCAAAAACTAACCAGCACGTCTTCCTATCAATAGCAATCGAATGTTTTTTGAATAATTCAAATCGCCTGATAGTCCATAGTTATTATAGTAAGTTCACTTCGGAATTCGAGATACCCAGCTGTAAGTCTGTAAATACTTGTATATTGACATCTAAAAGTTGTCTCAAAACCTACATATGGTAGGGTGTACGCAACATAAGGAGATTCTTATTTAATTTAAGCTTAAATGACTGGACTATGATCCGTGCACCCGAAATCGTGGACAAAAAATTGTAAGCACACAGACACACACACATATATTTATCCACTGTTCCTAAGGTATGCCAAAATGTTCAGAAATCTTTGAAACGTTAAGATATACAAAAAAATTCAGCTTTAATTTTTAGACGATTTTCATAACTTACTCTACGGGAAGTTAAAAAGTTATCACCTTTTATAAATGCGTGAGTTAAAACTAATATTAAATATTTACTAATGAATATTTTTTACAATCCTAACGACAAAAATAATATGTCATGTATTATAAAATAATATGCAAATATCTGAATGTATTGTTTACAAACTTATTAAATATCCTCCTAATTTAGTAAGTCTACAACATTTGAGGCTTGCATGTTTACATTTAAATGATGCCATCTATTGTCACGTAGAGCTTAAGATACATAACATAGCAATTACTCGAACCTTGCGTAAAATCTGCATCATCGATAACAGATATATATTTGCAAGCTGTAATCCATAGATAAATAAGCACAAATAAGATAAATAAGATGTAATCCATCTGTAATCTATTACTCTAAGCGAATCTGATGTAGGTATATTGATTTTATATAAAATAATGTTGTATTATACACGTATATTTTATTATCATATTTTAAAATGAACAGCCAATTCATTGCTAAATAGAAGCCAATTCGTGACAAGTAAATCTTCATACAGCGTAGAAAACTCCGAAAATTTTAAAACATAGAATTAAAAATACGCTAAAATTGGTTATGGCATAAAATTTTGGTTGAAACGACCAGTTGAAAATGACTAAATGTGAAGATTTAAATGTAAAGACGAAGTGGTTACAGTAAATATATTAACTTTTTAATGTTCATTATTTCATAATATATATTTTTTTATATTACATATAAGATATATTTATCACTTGTGCATTTTTTATATCATACATAAACATACATAAATCACTAGAAGAACAATATAGACATCATAAACAAAAATAAAAACTAGTGGTGTACGGCATCGTGTCTTAAGGCGTTTTTCTGGAACGCCGAAGAATATTAAATGTTTTTAAATATATTATTATAATTACTGTAACTTTCAATATTACTTCAATCCGTGCGCCCGAAATCGGGAACGAAAAATTGTAAACACACATACAGTAGAACCTCGATTATCCGGACTAATTGTTGTCGATAGGCATCCGGATAATCGAAAATCCGGATAATCCAAATTATGAAGAATAATATTTTGTTTATCAAAAATAACAAATGCATACATAGATGTCAACAAAAATCGATGATTATTAGAAAATTAACACTTACATATTTTCTTAGATTACATTATACATATTATATTAACATGAGCTAAAATATTCAGGCGGTACGTAAAGTATCAATGAAGAAGAAAAGTTGCTTACAAATAATTTGTTGATCGTTTTTGTAAAAACCAACAATATAGAGCTTCTTCTAAGAGTTCATTTTTCGGTCTCTTCACAATTTTCCGATTTTCACTACCCTCTTTACTATCTAACTTGCAAGTGTACGACAAAATTGAAGCGGCATTCTTTTTAATATCGCTTATAGTGGATGTATCTACACTACACCATACGTATCAGCTAACTTACGGCCGGTTTCGCCTTTTTAATGATTCTATAATATTTATTTTATCTTTAAGGGATAACACCACTCTTTAAAAATGTTATATATGCACGTCAAAACAGAGAATGTATTAATGTATATATGCACATCAGAATATGCAAGTTCCGACGCGATTATGTCCGGATAATCGCGAATTGTATAACCGAGGTCCGGATAAGCGAGGTTCATTTGGTTTCACATCCATTTTTTCTAAGGAATGCCAAAATGTTCAGAAACCCTGAAACGTGAAGATAAGCAAATGATTTGAAGATTTCGATTTTTAGACGTTTACTATAACTTACTTTTCCGGTAAGAAACTATTAACCTCTCGAAGAAGTTAGTTTTCGCGAAAAAACCGATTTGCTAATTTTATTCTGAATCGATTGAGACCAAATTGAAAAAAAGTATGTGTGTGTATGTGAGCCGTTTTTAGACCTTTTGTCATCGTTTTCTCAAAAAACAGCTGGGCCCATTTTAAAAATTTAATTGTAAATATTTGAATATGTAACAATTTCGACGTAAATCGATAAGGACTCAGTTTTGCGCGACGATCGGCCAAGACGTTTTCTTGTAATTAGCAGGAAAGTGTAAAATTATTTGTTCACGTTTTAGTCTACAATCTTGAACCTATTTTAAAAATTCAAAAACAATTCTATAAACTATATTATTTGAGAATCGAATTAATAAGTTTTTGGTAAAGATGCGGCGGACCGTTTATTCGTGATCAATTATGAAAATTTTTGATTAAACTTTGCATGACGATAAATTTATGATCTAACACACTAAACTGTTATAGGCCTACGATAACCGGTTGAATTATAAAAAACACATCTAAGTTTGGACTTGCGCCCCTCGCTTAACCGTTTCTAATCAGTATCTATGCCTTTTCGTGTTTTGTAGGTAGCTGCTGATTACAGTTGATCTATTGAATTTATTTTATCGTTCTTAGGGTTAGGATTACTATGAACAAATAAATGTGCTTATAGCTTGAAATAAATATATTTAGTCCACTTGTCATTACATAAAAATAAAATATTTTTATATAAACAACAGGCATTACACATATCATTTGCCAACATCGTTCATTTTTCGGTAATCCAAGCAGTGAATTAATCAATTCTGAATTTCTCTTCGGGAATGTTATGAATCCTTCTGCTCTACATGGTCTTGTCCTGTCAACCATTTGAGGAAGGTCCCTTGCCGTCAGAGTATTCAACCAGTCGGACATCTCTTGGGCATACTGCAGAAATATTTATACTTAATACATTAGGCTTAAATCATTATTTGTATTGTAATAATACAAAAACAAACTCACACACATACTTATATTGGGGGTTTCCGTGGGGTAAGAGATAAGCAAAAGTTTTTGTCGGTTTTATGATTAATAAGTCTGACATCTAGGCATGCATAAAGTTATAGTAATCGTCCAAAAATTGAAAATGAAATTTTTTTGCCTATCTTTACGTTTGAATTTTGGCATACCTTAGGAAAAATGGATGTATGTGTGTATGTATGTATGTGAGGATAAAATTTTTCGTCGACATTTATGGAAGCATTGCTCAACCGATTTGATTTATTCAAAAATCATTGAATTCCTTAAGGTGCGTCCACACCTAACGAACGAACACGAACGAACATGTCGAACAAGAAAATACAAAGAAGAACGAACAGGAACACGAACGAACGCGAAAAATTCCAAACAAACGCCTCAAAGCAGTGAGGGCTTGAATCTTTTTGTTCGAGGATGTACCGTGAAACGTCAAATTTATTATTTAAAGTGGCGGGAAAGAGCAAAATTATTTAAAGTCATCAAATTTACAAAATTTGTCAATAACATCAATATCTTATTATAAACACAACAAAAACTAATGCAGGACAGCACATTTTTACATCAAAAAAGAAAAATGTTTGTCTACATTCGTGGTAGCGTCCACACTGCACATACGAGAACAAACATGAACGAACAATTCCCTTTGATGTACCGACAAGTTGCGGAACATTGCTCGCCATGTTTGTTTATGTTCGTTCGTGATCGTTGTGGCGTCCACACTATGCTTTTGCCGTTCGTTCTGGTACGTTCTTTTATGTTCGTTCGTGTTCGTTCGTTAGGTGTGGACGCACCTTTATAAGATCAATAGATAAGGAGACGTACTGATTGGTTTTTG